GGAGCAACCTTTGCATCTTCATCTTCTTGAGGGTCCCCATAATTGAAGGATACGTGATAACACAGTGAAACATTCTCGAATTTCTCATCATCCTCCATTAGAGATGAAATATTATGCTCGCTTTGTGTAGTAACTTGATACGAAGAACCCACTATTTCTTTGTCTTCGTCATGTTCCCTAGTGTAGACCACAATATATATCATTACCTTTAGTATTTCTTTACATGAAACCACCAGTTTTGTTTGTCGCATCATTCTAGAAGGAACCAAACTTTGGAAATCCTTAGAGATCTTCTGAATTTGGGGCGGAGCGGGTGTTCTTGTATTTTGATAATTTCTCTGGAACTTGTTCCCCTTCTTTAATGGACCCAATCTCTCAAATACGGAAGTCCTCACAGTTGATTTTCCAAGTTGATAAAAGACAGAAGGCTTGTTAGAAGCGGCAGATTTATCTTTCACAGTGATATAATTGTTTCTCTCCCTTCTTATGGAGATGTGCACTGGTGACAGTTGCTTGTATCCCAATCCTTCACGTGGTTGTCTCGTAGCAGCTTCTGATGGGAGTTTCCCTAATTTTGATGGCTCATTGCGATTATATCCAGCCTTTTCAAATAGCCTGTAAGCATTAAGATCAAAGCCTTCATCTGTATGCTTTGTAGGGAGCGCCATATTCTGCAAATGATTTTAGGCCACAAACCCTGCAAGTGGCATTGAGGACAACTTTACTGCCTCAATTCGTTTGACCAGAAGAGTTAACCCCTTTAGCATGTTAGTCTGGATATTAGACGATTCACCTTCATCTTTATTCTTTTTAGGGACATATTGGATAGCATGAGTTACTTTCTTGCCGTAAGTCGCAATATACCCTCTATAAGATTTAATCGAGTAAGATTGTACCTCCTCAGTAACAACTTTAGCTTTACCAGCAGTCACCTCAGCTCTCTTAGTTGTGGGCTTGTCATTCTTGCTTTTCATAACATCATCAACTTTTAGCTCCTTCACAGTGTGGTTCTTCAAGTAGAACTTTGCATCGGCGAAGTATGACTCAGCCTTGGTGAATCGCTCGTCATCAACAACTATCTTTTTCTCGACTTCACCCTCGTAGTATTTCAAACATTGATGGTCGGTAGAGGGCACCACTTTATTCTGATGTATCCAAGGCATTCCAAGCAAGATGTTGTATGAAGTCTTTGCGTCGATCACATGCAGCCATGAACTTGATTGCACATATTCAATGGTGATTCCCAACCTGATCGCACCTATGGCTCTTTGCCCCCTTGGATCATCACACGACTTTCCGAGAGTTCGTTCATGGGAACACCAAGTTCTTTAATAGTGCGAATTGGCAAGATGTTCACTGAGGATCCTCCATCAACCAAAATTCGATTTACCCTTTCATAACGCATATAGCCAGCCACGTACAACGGGTGGTTATGAAGAGTGTCACCTAGTGGAAGATCGTCATTTGTGAACATAACTTTTTCCTCGCATGCATTAACTTCTTGAGGAATAGAGTGGGCTTTTCTGAAGATGGTGCCAACGGTAGGTCATCACTCTTTTCTTCCCCTTTATCAGCATTGCAATAAAAGGCCTCAATACCATCATGGGAAATCTTCATGTGGAACCAACATGGCAAGAAATCCTCCAAGGTCACTGGATGTCGTGCTTTTGAGGGTGGTGCACCTCCACTTTTGCTTTCTTCAAACGCCTAACTGGATTATGTTTCATTGGCCTTTTACTATCATTTTCCTTGTTGGTTGTTCTATTGATTCTTTTTGTGGGCTCCTTTTGTGGCGCATAGGACGAGTCACTAACTTCCAACCTTTATCATCATCAGGGTTATCGACTTCAACTTTGTTGTTCTCTATTATTTCTTCATCTTTACTTTCTTTAAAACCACATAATTCATCCGGACTGAATGAGCCAAAGGTGATAGAGACTTGGTTTGCGCTTGCTTTCTCATATTCAAGCACGATCCTTTTCACGAGCCAAGTCCATAACTTTGTTCTTGAAGACAAAGCACTTCTCTAGAGGGTGGCTCACAAGTCGATGGTATTTGCAGTAATTTGGGTCATTCATTTTACCAGCTTTATTTGGATGCTTCATCTCCGGAAGATCAATGAGATTTAACTTGAGGAGTTCTTAAAAAATTGCTGGCACATCATAATCCAGAAATGTGTACTCCTTCTCTTGCATTTCTTTTATAGTCAACTTCCCACCTGGTTTATCTTGAAAAGAAGTGGATTTAGTACTCTGCTTCTTACTCACCTTCATCGTGAACTTCACAGGCGATGTGGTGACATTCATAGCTTCTTTGTTTTCATACTTGGGCATAAACTTGCTCCATTTCCTGACTTCTCGCTTGTCGTTCCCTTTGCGAGGTTCATATATGGGCGGCCTTTCGTTTCCATTGGAGGCCATGCTCAATTCCATGTCATGGGCACGAGTTGCAAGTTCTTCAAATGTGCTAAGCTTGATACCTTGCAAGATGTAGCGCAGTCCCCAATGCATGCCTTGGATGCACATCTCTATGACAGAAGCTTCACTAAGCCTGCCTTTGCAGTTGAGGCTTGTATTCCTCCAATGATTGATAAAGTCGATAACTGGTTCACCCTTCCGTTGATGAGTATTTGTAAGTTCCACCATGCTCACAGAGCGCCTTGTGTTATAAAAGTGATTGAGGAACTCTTGCTCTAGTTGATCCCAGCTATCAATAGATCCCGCCTCAAGGTTTGTATACCAATAAAAAGCATTACCTTTTAGCGAGCGGACAAACTGCTTGACGAGGTAATCTCCATAAGTCCCAGCGTTGTTGCATGTCTCAACGAAGTGTTCCACGTGTTGCTTTGGATTGCCTTTTCCATCAAACTGTTGAAACTTTGGAGGTTGATAGCCAACAGGCAACATATTGATCCTTGTAGTATATGGCTTTGCGTATGTAAGAGATGACTTGGTAGCAACTTCATACTTTTTTTTAATAGTTCCTTCAATGAACTCCTTCAGTTGATCGATTGGAGTCATCCCTTCATATAATATAGGGATAGACTTAGCGGATGCTACTTGTCTTGGGGGAGAATTACTCTCTGGAACCTCTGGGAGCTTGCCAGGTGCATGGGTGGATTCTTCTTCCATCAAGATTCCCACCCTGTCTGCTAGCTTGTCGATTCTAGCCCCTTGATTTTGCATGTACTTGGTCAAGCCAGCGATTGCTTCCGTCAAGTTTGCCAACTGCTCCTCCAAAGATGAAGTATTTGTCACCATGGCTTGCATGATTGTCGTGGACGATGGAGAGTAGCATGGATTGTCACATAGATTGATCCTCGATTGGCTTACGCTATGTGGTGTAAGTGGAGAGGATCCATCACTTGAAGCATCATCATCTTCCTTCACAGCAAAGTTCTTGTATCCGGAGAGGTCAAGTAGAGCAAGAGTTTTTTTAATCTTTGCAGCAGCATAGCTTCCTCCTTCGGGTGCATTTGTGGAAGATCTTGCTCCTTTTAAGGATGAAGATCCGAAAATAGGGGTTGATGCGGACGACACTTGGAGTGGTTGTTGTTCTAAAGAGCTTTCTTTGCCCCTCGTAACTGGTCCGAAGCTTCCAAAGATAAACATCGAGGATGCTTTCCACATCAGCATAGAACCTGGAGTTAGCAGCCTTGGTGGATGTTGATCTGGAGTTGATTTTCTTTGAAGCCATTTCGACGTTCTTGTACTTTGGTGATTGAAAAGTTGAGATGAGAGGTAGAGATTGTCCCACTGGGCGTGCCAGAATTTGTAGACAATAAATTGCGTCGAGAAAATAAAATCAAGACCGAAAAATATTGCAACAATCGTAGTATTTGATTTCAAATAATATAAGTGTACAATCTCTATGGATCCTCTGATTCTTCTTTCCAATAGTGAATAAATTCAAGGGCCTTTGAGCTTGATCTTGAATATGTAGTTGTTGCCAGGAACGATGATCTTGAATTCAACTAGCACGAACTTTGATTTGAACTCGTACTCCTTGAATCTTGATTTGTTCTTCGTTCTCTTGAGCTTGAACTTGAACTTGATTGCTTGAAGCTTGAAACTTGTAGAAAATTTTGCGGCGTTTGATCCACGTGCTCTCTCTTGCTTCTTGTTATAACTTCTGGTCTCTTTTCTGGGTTATGAAGATCCCTATTTATAGTTGTGGGAGGGAAGAGTTATGATAGGAACAAACTCTTTCCGACCAATCAAATCGAAGTGTGACAAGGCCGCATTTGATTGGCTAGAACATATCACTTGCACACGTGGCACGATTTCATTAGCCTTTTAATGTGACTTGGCATGCCTTGTCAGTTTGACACGTGATATGATCCTATTGGCTCTTCCGCTTGACTTGCGTGCCACGTCATATGACATGTGGTACCAAATTTGGCCTCTAGGAAGATAACATCTTGGGCTTAAGGAAGTGGGCTCATCACTTTAGCCCAATTAAATGGGCTAGCCCAATGGATTAAGACTTATTTATTTAATCCATATATATTATACAATTAATCCAATTATGTTAGCCCATAATATTTATTCGGACCAATATATGTTGAATTTAAAATAAGTCCAAATAAATTTATGAATTTAATTCATACAAATTTTATATGCCTACACTACTAAACAGAGTCTTTACGAGCTGAATCACGTTTGTAACATCATCTAATCACTGAGAAAAGAATATACTCTCTACTTTTTGCCTACTGTTCATCAGCATTGTCCTTTAGCTCTAATCCTTTTGCTCTATTTCTTACTTTATTGCTCTTAGCCCGTCTCGAGGTCATTACTGTCAAGTAACATTGGTTTGATTCACTTATCTCTTTCATTTCTACTTCATATTTCTTGATTATTAATTGGTATTGAACTAAATCACATATTTTTAAAACCACAAATCAAATTTAATTGTTACTCGTATTTTCGAGGTAAACAATTTTCTTTTACCTTTGAATTTCTTCATGAACCGTGAGAGGGAAGTGAGACGTATAATCGTTTTCTCATTACAATAGGACACTTAAACTTCCAATCATTTGCACTTCCACATTAGTCATTTTTGCTGGAAATTAAATAAGATAATAACGATGGAGTGCACACAACTATGAAGAAATATAAATTAAGTTTATTAGAAAAAGCTACACAACAGAAACTAACTAGTCTATATATCTTCACTCCTCTTCCTCATCAGTGACAAATTTGCCAGTTCCTGGATTTATGGCAGCAATGAAGAAGAAGACAATGTTAAACAACAAAAGGGGCTCAATCTCATTGATTGGGACACCTGTCTCAAAGTTAAGTTGTGCCAAAGCTCCTTTCCCTGTGATAATTTCTCCTATAATGGAGAAAGCAATTCCCAGTTGTGCCAATCTTCCTACAAACAACTCATTTGCCTTTGTGAATCCAAATAGAGGACCTGCATACATACAAAACTTTAGTTAAATCGAAGGCCAAACAAACTAAAGATTATTTTGTACACCTCTAAACTAAAATATATAACCCGTAGCCGCTACTAGACGCAGATCCACGATTTTTACGCGATGGGGCATAGTATTTTGCTCAACCAGTGCCCCCTAAAGGGTTTTAGTATTTAGGGTGCCAAGTGCTTTAAATTAACCATTTCAAGATATATACATATGCATATAAAAAAATTCTGCCGAAACTTACGAGGTCCAGTGACCCCTCATTCTAACACATAGATCCGCCTCTGGCCGCTACCCTTCTGGTGCGCACAAGGTAAACTCCATTGATAGCAAGCCTCGTGCGACAAGCTCGACTGAAGAGGCATGCAAATGGTTTCGAACTCTAGACCTCCAATTTGTGAAGTCCCCAGCTCAACCAATTCGGCCACCCCCAAGGGTTTAGAGGGGGTTTGGATTGGCTATTAAGGTGGTCAAATCAGCTTTTAAGCTCTTTTTAGCCTTTTTCGGTGTTTGACAAAGCTATAGATGCTTAAAACAAGCCAAAAACAATAAGCTGGCCAACCCTCGTCAAGTATACATAATATATATGAAGAAAAAGTGGCGCTTATTAGTTTTTACCTCCTTCCCTAAGACCTAAAGCAGCCTTAAAGCCTTTGCCAGGAGGGATAACAGCCTTATCAAGACCAGTAGCAGGGGCAGGGTCATCAACAAATTTTCCTCTGTCTCCCAAAGCTCCAATGGCTCCAAGCAGATTGAATAGGATGAAGAACAATAGTAGTGGCTCTGCTTCATAGATTGGAATTCCAGTTTCAAGATTCAGTTGTGCCAATATTCCCTTTCCTGTTACTGCTTCTCCCAACAAAGATGCCTATATTACATCATTACATGCATTAGTGCTGTATAGCAGGAAATATCACTTAAATTTTAGTTGGCCTTTGGACATAAAATTGTAATTTTTGAATTTACAATTATGTTTGACATGCATTTTACTATAAAAAATGTTGCAGAGCTCTATATATAATTAATATGAATTTTTACATTGAATTATCACTAGACAAAGCTATATAATAGCAACAAGTGCAAGTCAACACAAAATTTTAATTAATATAATTATCACTTATCTACGACAAATCTACATGTTATGACTATACATGCATCGAGTCCGAATATTGTTTTCGAACTGATACCACATTATCCGTTACCTGTTCAATAAAATAAAACTTTGGCCTTGGGACGCGACTCATTTGTCTAACTATGTAATACTATAATATTGAGCCTTTAGTAGAATAACAAAAGTATTTTGTTTATTTTTATTTTAAGAACCATTAAAAAATTATGATAAACTAATTAATCGAAGTACTCACCGCAAAACCAATCATAGCTACACGGCCAACAAAGAGCTCATTTTGCTTAGTGAAACCAATTCCTCCTGAGGTTCCAAAAATCCCATCTTCAACTTTTTCCTTTGGCTTTGGTACAACCTGTTGCTCCATCAAAATTAAATTTAAAAATAAGATATTCAACAAATTACATATGTAATATAGACCAATTAAAGAAAGATGGTATTACAAAACAGGAATTAGTGATGAACAAATTTTGCAGTTAAATAGCAAAATTCGTTGTTAATCCTACTTAACGGAATTAGCGACAGATTATCAAAATATTCTGTCAGCTACGGATAATTTAGTGGCAGATTAGCAACGAAGTTTGTAGCTAATCTTTTTTAGTAGTGCGATAAATGTAAATAAACAAAACTCAGAATTAAAGGGGATGTGGACTTATTCTTTTCAAATATAATAAGTAGCTAACCTTTTTGGCAGGAGCTTTGGCTTTAGACTTGAAAAGAGCAACAGTAGTACTTGTGAAATGTGAAGAAGAAGAAGCAGAAGGGTATTTCAAAGGAAGAGAAGGCAAAAAGAAAGAAGACAAAGGCTTAGGCTTTAGTCTTTCAACTAAGGATTCTTTACTCCTTAAATCAACTTTGGCATTGGCTGTCAGCAACATTGTTTGAGCCATGTCTTTTTCTTTTTGCTCTTGAAAACTTGAGTTCCCTTTAAGTTAGAAGAAGAAGAAGAAGTTTGAACAAGAATTCAGTTCATTAATTTTTTATGATATCTTGGTTTTTATAGAAAATGAATGGTGTCCATTTATTTTGATTCTGGAGATTTTTGAGGTTGAGATTGTTATCACTGAACTAGGATAGAAAGTGAGAGTTGATAGAGCGACCACGTCCACCTATGTACTTTGTGCGCTTGTGAAGTAAAATGTCCCTCTTTTGTGCGGTCCCTTGTGTATTTTTTGGTTGTATCTTGGTTCTCAAATCAAATGTCTACGTATATACTTTTATTCTATTTATGGTTTAAGTAGTAGGAGTACACTATTTCTCATCTTGGTCCACAGTAAAAATTTCTGAGAATGATCAAAAGGGTGCCGTAAATAATAGGAACAAAAAAATAATATGGTGGCCCAAGTGAAGGTTAGTTTTGAAGATTGATAAAGGAAACTCAGGCATGAACCAGGTCTATCCCTCAGGTGCACAAAAACGGGCAGATTCGAGCATATGGGAATGAGATAAGCTTAACTTGGTATATTTAATATCTCTTGATCGAAAATGTTGCATAATTGATAAGGAGAAGGACTCCTTACTCAAAGAGAGCATTATCCAAGATAGGGAAGGAGTTAGAAATTGAGATCAACCAGAACTCTTCCACCAAGGAAGAGTTGCATCAGAACTCTAGTTATTTCTTCATCTACTAACTCTATAAATTGCAGGATGTCCTCACATTACAAGTGTTGCACATAAGCAGAAGTTAAACGTGAATTGAGAGCAAAATAGCAAGGCAGTTTTGCAAGCAATTCGTGTGTGACTCAAGCGTGCAAACCTGAAGCTACTTGAACCATATAGAAGAACCAGTTCCAAGTGTCTATCTTTTATTCTAGTTCAATTGTAGTAGGTGATTTTACATTGTACCTTTCAGCTTGTCTAGAAGCAATTGTATTAGTTACTTAGAGTTTTCAAGTTAAAGTTAACTTGAAGTTGTCGCAACAGTTGAGGTTGTGTGCCACAACGGGATTAGAGTTAATCCTAGGTTTACAAAAGCGTTTTTGTAAATGCAGTTTTTGGCTCAGTGATTTTAGTGGAGAGTTTGGGAAAATCCTACTGGAAGGTAGGTCGTGATTTTTTTACCTTTTGAGCCAGGTGTTTTCCACGTAAAAATCTCTGTGTTCTTTAATTTTTGTATTTATTATTCCGCAATAGTAGTAGTTGGAACACACAGAAGAATCAGGTCCTTCTTTAATCAAGTTAAGCGAAAATTGGGTACCACACAAATCATTCCCCTCTTGTGTGGTATTTAAGTATAAAACATTAATTGGTATCAGAGCAGGTTATCCTTGAAGAGGCGAACACCTTAGGAACAGACCAAGATGAGCGCACCGCCTGGAAACTGGAAATGGCAATCCACCTTTGCCTCCACTCTTTAATGGCCAATACTACTCTTGGAGGAAAAACAGGATGAGAGATCACATCATCGGAGAAGACTATGAGCTATGGGACATTGTCACTGATGGTCCCCTGGCTACCATGAAGAAGAATGCTGAAGGAGTAGACGTGCCAAAAACAAGAGCTGACTGCAATGCTGTGGACTTGAGGAAATGGGAAAAGAATGCTAAGGCCAAGAAATGGCTTGTGTGTGGACTTGGTCCAGACGAGTACAGTAGAATTCAAAGTTGTACCACTGCTAAGGAAATCTGGGATACTTTGCAAGTGGCTCATGAAGGAACAACTCAAGTGAAGAGGTCCAGAGGAACACTATTGTATTATCAGTATGAGAATTTCACTATGAAGGAAGGGGAAATCATCCAAGAGATGTATACAAGGTTCACCACACTGACAAATGAACTTAAGTCTCTTGGAAGGGTTATTCTTGAAGAAGACAAAGTTGAGAAGATTTTGACAAGGGTTCTGCCAATCTCTTGGGAAAGCAAAATCACTGCTATTCAGGAATCAAAGAACATTGCCACTCTTAAGTTGGATGAGCTAATTGGAAATCTCACTGCCTATGAACTTAGAAGGCAAACCATGAAGATGGATGGACCCAGGAAGAAAAAGAGCCTGGCATTCAGAATCACTGAAGGTGCTGATCTAGAGGAGGATGAAATGACCATGATCACAAAGGACATCAAGAAGTACCTAATGAGAGGAAAGGGTCCTTCAATAAGTGAAAGCTACAACAAACCAAGGGTTCCTGAAAAACAAACCAATGAGGGGTGTTACAAGTGTGGGAAGACTGATCACCACATCAAAAACTGCCCTCAATGGGAAATTGAATGGAAGAAGGAAAGAGCTAAACGAAGGAACAGGAAGAAGGAACAGGTTCAACCCAAGACGAACAAAGGATCAACAAAGGCTATGGTTGCTGCCTGGGGAGAAAGCTCAGATGAGGACTCAGAGGGTGAAGATGGATATGAACAAGCACTTATGGCAATTGGAGAATTCGATGAGGAATCTGAGGTAAGTATAATTCATCTCAAAGACAAGATTAAACTTTTGTCTAAAGAAAGGCTATCTGAGTTACTCCTGGATTTCATTGATGAATCTGAGGATCTAAACATTGAAAAGGAACAGATGTCTAAGGAGTGTGTGATTTTGAAAGCTAAGTGCAAAAATTTGGAACTTAGGGCTAGTGAAAGTGAAAGTAAAAATGCTGAGTTAAAGAACCAGGTTCTTGAACTTGACACCACTGTCCTAGAACTTAGATCTGAAAATCTAAAATTGAAATTAGGAACTGGTAGAAAGAAAGCTGATCACACACAACTCACTTTAGAAGAAAATGTAGAAAAAATGAAAGATGAGTTGTACAAAAGAGATGAGTAGATAAGAATCCTTAAGGAGGATCTAAACAAGGTTAAGCACGAGCTAGACAGAACCTGTAAATGGAATAGGTCCTCCGATGCACTTTCATGGCTACATGAACACCATAGTAGCAATAAGAGAGGACTTGGCTACAGGACCCCTGCACCTAAGTGGGATCCCAAAAGCAAGTACCTCACACTTCCTGAGATCATAATTTGCACACACTGTGGTAAAACTGGTCACTATAAAAGTGAATGTATTGCAAAAGAAAAGGCTAGTCAAAAGAATAAAGAATTTGTTCAAGGAAAAAATAGGCTGCCGGGTTGGCTAAAAAGAATCTGATTTACCCCTTTGCCTATAGAAAGGGACCCAAACTAGTTTGAGTTCCTAAGACTAACCCCTGATTTCCTTTTGCGGGTCCAAGTGAAGGGGAGCAGCCAAATATGGTACATGGATAGTGGCTATTCAAAGCATATGACAGGAAGCAAGAACCAGTTCCTTTCACTTGAGGACCTCAAAGGAGGTAATGTCTCCTTTGGAAATGGGAAGAAATGTAAGATCATTGGGTTTGGAAAGGTAGGTAAGACTAATTCTCACTCTATTGAGAATGTCTACTTGATAGATGGCCTAAAGTACAGTCTAATTAGTGTATCACAATTATGCGATAGAGGTAACTTGGTAGCATTCACCTCTACCAAATGTTTTATGATTAATCTTACCACTGACAAGATTATTTTGCAGGGAAAAAGAGTAAACAATACATACATTGTAGATTTGTCCACACTTTCAGAAAATGAACTCACTTGCTTAAGTGTGTTGGACAATGATCCCCCCCTTTGGCACAAGAGATTTGGACATGCAAGTCTGAGTCAACTTAACAAATTAGTCTCTAAGGATCTGGTGATAGGGCTGCCTAACATCAAGTTCAAAAAAGACAAAGTTTGTGAGGCTTGTGCAAAGGGGAAGTAGGTAAGATCCTCTTTTAAATGCAAGAAAGTGGTAAGCACCACCAGAACGATGGAACTGGTCCATATGTATCTTTGTGGTCCAATGAGAATATTAAGCAGAGGTGGTAAAAGATATGTGATGGTGCTTGTTGATGATTACTCTAGGTTTACTTGGACATTGTTTTTAACATCTAAAGATGAAACATTTGACATGTTTACTTCTTTTGTTAGAAAAACTCAGAAACAACTAGGTAATCAACTTGCATCAATTAGGTCTGATCATGGAACTGAATTTGAAAATGCTAACTTTGCTGAATTTTTGCATGCTACATCATAAATAGTTGCATGACTAGACCTCTTGTTAAGAAGATTCCCTATGAGTCACTTAAAGGGAGAAAGCTAAATATATCCCATCTTAGGGCATTTAGATGCAAGTGCTTTGTGCACAATAATGGCAAAGACTTCCTAGGTAAGTATGATCCCAGAAGTGATGAGGGAGTGTTCTTGGGATATTCTTCACATAGTAAAGCTTATAAGATATACAGTAAAAGAACTATGTGTGTAAAAAAAATGTATATGTTATTTAAAACTAACATTCTTTCTGAGAGGCAGGAACAAGATAATGAAGAGATTGGGCTGATAAGAAATTCAAATGGTGAAACCACAGTCCAGCCTGAAGATGCATCACAAGAAGGAACAAGTGATGGGACAGGTCCTTCCACCCAGGGCAACATGACAGGGGGAACTGACTAGAGAGGAACTGATCCTCAAACCTCGAGGGAACCTGTCCAAGAACCTATTCCTCAGTAACAAAACCAGGAAGGAACATCCAAAGAAATTGACACTCCTATTGCAATATCCACGAAATTGGATATAGATGAACCTGGTTAATTTGTTGATCAGAAGTTGTATAGGGGAATGATTGGTTCTCTTTTGTATCTTACTGCTAGCAGACCTGATATTGTTTCCAGTATAGGTCTTTGTGCTCGATTTCAGGCAAATCCAAAGAAGTCCCACTTGACTGCTGTCAAGAGAATATTGAGATACTTGAAAGGCACCACTGACCTTTGCCTTTGGTACCCTAAAGGTAGTAATTTTAATTTAGTAGGATATGTTGATGCTGACTATGCAGGTTTCCTTGTGGATAGGTAAAGCACCTCAGGTATGGCTCATTTTCTTGGTTCATGTCTGGTATCATGGGCCACTAAAAAGCAGGATTCAGTGGCCCTATCCACTGCTGAGGCTGAGTATGTTGTTGCTGCCTCTTGTTGTGCTCAACTGCTATGGATCAAACAGTTGCTGATGGATTTTGGCATTGAAGTTGGTTGCATCCCTATTTGTTGTGATAACACTAGTGCTATTAGCATGACTAAGAACCCAGTTCATCATAAGAGGACTAAGCACACAGATGTTAGACATCACTTCTTAAGGGACAACTATGAG